CCCCGTTTTCGTTATTATATTTCTTAATTCGTGGAGCAAGAATAATGTCTACGAACACCAATAATATCAGATCTTGGAGGATTCCAGTGGACGACGTCCGTCGAATATCCTTGGAATACCTCGAAACTCGGGTCGAAAACAGTGGAGGGTCGACAACGCGGTTCATTTCGTTCGCGACTTCACGTTCCCGGCTCCTCGATATAATTCTAACCATCTTATACCGCTTTTAACTCGATGCAGTGGTGAAAACGAATCAATCGGGCTGGTGGCACAGCCTTGCACCGTGATGTCCTGTTTGACCGCCCTCGATTCGCAGATCGTCACCCTCCTGTCCGTCCCCCACGAGATCCTCTTCCTCCAGCACAAGGTGTTTCGAGAGTATGCCAAGATAGCGGTCGGCCCCGATTTCATCCACACCTTGCCTTCCCTCCTCATCCTCGTTTCGATGGCGATCGTCCTCTGGAGGAGTCCACCCTCCTACAACGGCCTCGCCCAAATAACGGGCCCCATCGTGTACAAGAGCCTTCAGGTATCCTTCCATTCTCCTTTCGAGAAATGAGATTGTTCGGGCTAACCCTTCCACGTTTTTTCGTTTCAAGCTGTTGGTCAGCTGGGTCGTCGTTATCGCCATTCTCTGGTTCTGGCTCATGTGGCAGAGGCTCATCTATTGCTGCGTCTGGACCTCCTGGAGTTACGTGAGTATATTTCTATCGCCGCTGATATTTTCAAACGCAGTTGCGATTTCTTTTTCGAACTGCCAAAGTGACGTTCTTTTATAGAAAAAAAGGAAAATATATAATTTTGACAACGTAGATTGTCAATTTCTTAATCCCTGTGGATGATAATCCAAATTTTACTCTTTGTTAATATCCCATATTTCGATAAAAGTGTATATATTTATTTATCGATAAATAACGACGAAAGATGAATCCTTTCTGTTTTTCAAATATTACTTTTCGAAAAAGAAAAAGGAAAATTAATTTATTTCATTACGCATAGCAATCCGAATACAGAGACGTCTCTTATCAATGGTGGCAACAAGTTTGGTCCTCGTACTATCCACCCCCGCTAGAGCCACCCGTCATGTCGGCCGGTTTCATCAGCTGGTTGATCTCGATGTCGATCGCTGTCACGGTTCTAGGCTGCGCTGTTTCCGCCAATCGAGTGTGGAACTTCGCGACGGAATTGGCGATCGGCATGAAAGACGCTATAACAACAATGAAATTTTACGCCAACTCTTACCTCAAAAGGTTCGTTTTATTTTTCACCAAGCATTCGTGGCTTCGAATTTAGAGAAATTCACTTCTCTTTTAAAAACCTGTTGCCACAGAAAAATAAGCCACATCCTGCACCAATTATGGCTGCAAGGCGAGCCTATAGCGATAGCGAACAAGAAGAGCAACGTGCCGAACGACAGCGAGGCAAGCTCCATATGCGACGAGTGCCGATCCGAGATCTCCACAGACGCGATAATCAACGATCATCGAAGGGAGATACTTCCCGTTTCGTATGGAACGAACTGGATGCCGAAACCAAATTTCTCCGGGTACAAAGAGCCGATCAAGAAAGTGTCGATGAAGTCTCTGCACACGGTGGCCGTGGTGAACGATATCCAAGACTCGGACGATCTGTCGCCGCGCCACTCGAGATACAAGCGCGGTTGCCACACGGTCATACCCAACAACTCGAGCGACCAGTCGAGCGGATGTTGAGAAAACGCGCCACTGACGTGATCGGACGACAACAACGCTCTTTTTATCCAATGTAAATGGACACGTTACGTTTAGTAGATTTTCCACTCGGGAAATTTTGAATCGGTCCAGTTGTTTCCGGGGGGAGCATCGAACTAAAAAGTAGAATATTTTTTCAATCGCGTAGCCGAGGGGAAAAAATTGAAAGAATCGAGCTCGATCGTAATTGACAAAAATATAAATAATCCCAAGGATGGATCGTTAGAGTAACGTGTCCGAGTCTTTTAAAAGTATTACGTACGTCTACTCTTATATTTTGGAAATACGAGGAAACTTGGATGAAGGGGATCTCGAAGGATCTCGAGAGGAAATTAATCGTAAATCACGTAGGGATTGAGACGATTCGGGACGAATTTGGAAGAGAGATTGATTTTCGACCACGCGTTGCGAAATCGAGCGAATTCGCGGAGAGATTTTTCTTACGATCGATTCGAGGGGTGATAAGGGGAGGAACAGGAAAGGGAGGAGGTGAATCCATGATTTTTCTTTCTTTCTTTGGTAAGGATGGAAAAAAGGAAATATATTCGCCCGAACGATGCATTGCTCTTCTATCTTTTTGTCTGGGAAGGAAAATTGTAAAGTCTTTTGAACGCTGAAAGTGAATAATCGCTAACTATGGTGGTAGAGATGACGTAGAATAATAATAGATGTAAAAGATTATAGAAGCTATTGTACCGTATTGTACCGTAAAATATTGTATTGTACTATAAAAATTATACGTCTACGTATTTTTTTACGATCCGTGTTGTTTTTATTGCTTGATCGATACGTTGAAAGATTAATGAACAACGATAAAAGAGTTGGTATATATATATATATATACACGTGGAAAAAAGTCGTTGAGCAAGTTTTATAAGTTCATTTTTGAATTTAAATTCAATCGATATTTGATTCGAATTTATTTTAAATTATTGATTTTTGAAATACTTAACCTTTAAATCTATCTTCAAATCCAATTTATTTCACATAAAACTATTTCTTCCAAAGAATCGAAAACACCTACGCTAAAAATTTCTCGAGCGATTGCTTTTTTATTTCGAATCTAAAAGACTACGCTCGATTTCAAGATCGTCTTTTCTAAGATTAAATGCAAACAATTCGCGTCTTCCATCGCTTCGAGAAAAAGCTAAATTCATTAATTTTCAAAAAACAACCGATTTCCAATTTTCAAAATTCTCTCCGATCGTAAATCCATTATATAAAAAAAAAAAAAACAAATGAAAAAATACAAAAATACTTGGAATCAAACGATATCCCGTTCGACAATCCTCCAACCCATTCTCTTTGATTATTCATCGAGTCCTGGAGAGACTTGGCGTTTCCAGGACAGCCTCGATCCCAAGTTTCTTGGAGGGGGTGTCCGCGCATGCGCCCAAACAGGGTAACACTCCCCGTCTTGCGGCCAAGCGTTATTCCGTAACGACATCCCTCGTAGGATAGGTCGACACGAGGCTGCCCAGTAGCATCATCTGATACGCAGTAAAATCAGTTTCCACCAGGAGAAGTGTGTCGTTCCTATAGCGATACCTCCTCCACTCGCGTGTCAAACCAGCTTCCCTCGAACGCAGCAGACAAAGGATTTATAATACGAAAAATCGTATTTCTTCCGCGGTTTAAGCGGAAAATCTCAAAACGAGGATTTTTTCCCGAGGTCCAGAACGAAGGTCGGGCGTGAACTCGATTGTTTTCCTCCTCCTTCGGAGGGCATCGTCCTCCCGTTCGAGATCCTCCAATCTTGGAAGGATGTAAATGGTAAGGCGAAAGGTGGAGGATTCGAAGAAGAAGCAGAAGAAGAAGACGAAGAAGAATAATATAAAAGCATCAAGGAAGAATTTACAAGACTCGAAGAATTCGGTTTTGAGGAAGCTTGGATCGAGGCAAGGGTTGAGAAGATCTCGCGATATCTTGGAACCTTGTGTCGTTGTGCTTTTCGTGTCGATCCACGATTGGTGAGATGAATTAATTTTCTTCGATTTTTATTCTTTCATTCGTCGCGCGAATCTTTCTTCGTTTCAAAAAGAAATTCACTTTCGTTTCACAGATTACATTTTTTCAATCTAATCGAAAACCTAATTGTAAATAAGAGTTTCTTCATCCGTGTTAATATTAACGTGATTCTACGTTAATACCTACGTTATTAAATCGATCGAAATTCACGATTTTTACGATCGACGATATCATCGATCGTTGTTGATTGAACGGAGAGAAGAGAGGAACGAAAGGGAGAGGGGGAGAAAAATAAAATCTCGCGAATGAAACGATATTAGATTGAAATAATATACAAATCCACGTGCACGGTGTAACGTGACACGAAGCTTCTTATTGATTTTGCGTTCAGCATCCCGTAGCGCGCGCGCGAGTATTTGTATACAAGCGAAATCAGCCGCGCTCGCGCGCTCCACGCACACGTGAGACGAAATCACGCATACAATACGCTTCAAAAGTATCCGTGTTTATCTTTCTATTCCAGAATCACGTACACTCCCGCTCAAAAATCGAATTAATCGCCAATCTCTCTCTTTCTCCCCTTTATCTATATATTCATATATATTTAAATCGATAAATTATCCTTTGAATATCGGCGGTCGATTCATCGATTTCACGATGATAATTTAATTTGCAAATTTTCAATTTGAAACGTCGAAATATCGAGAACCAATAGCATATTTGTGAACGTTAGTGTATCGTGCAAACACGCATACAGAGGCAAACAGGTGCGTGCAAGCGGACTTTCTCTGTTGCGCGCTTGTGAATCGGGTAATAAGGGTAGCGGGACAAGCGTGGCGAACCCTTTCGAGGAAAGGGGGATTTTTTTCATTGAGTTGGAGCCGGTTTTCGCGAGAGATCGTATTAAAGGCAACCCTCGCGGAAATATAAATAGAGGAGAGGGAGAAAGAGAGTGGAGTTGTAAATCGAGAGATCGATCGAAAGTGTATTTTTTTCGAATAAGAAATATTTTTTCCAACCAATTTGAACACAAATTCTTCTTTACGCGCGGTGATTTGGTAATTTTTTTCTTAATAATAGCAATAGTTGTAAAATTTTGTGTCGCTTTATCAACGGTGGTGAGAATAGAGTCGCAAATCTCGTTTAAAGGTACGAGAGCAAACGTTGCTTCGCCGCCCAAGTGAATATATACAAGCGTGTACCGAGTTATATTTGTACGTTCAAGTATACTTTACAAGTTAATTAAGCGAAACATATTCCGTATATAAATTTCTAGAAGGGACTAATTAACGTTACTCATTTATTTATTCATTCTCGCCTGTTCAATTAAAATTTCGCCATCTTCCGGAAACAATTACTCTTCTTGGAAAATTTTCCTATCCTTGATCAAGGAAATAAACGTTCCCCGTTTAATTACAATTCTCGTTCCTCTAATCTAAAAAAGTTCTACCCGTAGTTTCCTCGAGTTGACGAAGTACAAATTAAGTTCACCGCTTGATCGTAATATTCGATCTATCGTCAACGATATATTTCTTAAAAAATTTCTACTCGTACTTTCCTCGAGTTGACGAAGTACAAATTAAATTCATCGCTTGATCGTAATATTCGACTTATTATCAACGATATATTTCCTCGAGTTGACAAAATATAAAATCGATCGTAATTATTCTCGTTCGATTCGTCCACATTTCTTTCGTCAACATTTTATTCACATACATTTACGCTCGTTACAAAACGTTAAGTTCACCGCTTGATCGTAATATTCGACCTATATTTCAACGATATATTTCTTAAAAAAGTTTCTTCGAGTTGACAAAATACAAAATCGATCGTAATTATTCTCGTTCGATTCGTTCACATTTCTTTCGTCAACATTCTACTCACGTACACTTATGCTCGTTACAAAACGTTAAATTCACCGTTTGATCGTAATATTCGATTTATTGTCAACGATATATTTTTTAAAAAATTTCTACTCGTAGTTTCCTCGAGTTGACGAAATATAAATTAAGTTCACCGCTTGATCGTAATATTCGACCTATTGTCAACGATATATTTCTTAAAAAAGTTTTTTCGAGTTGACAAAATACAAAATCGATCGTAATAATTCTCGTTCGATTTGTCCACATTTCTTTCCTCAACATTCTACTCACGTACACTTACGCTCGTTACAAAACATTAAATTCACCGTTTGATCGTAATATTCGATTTATTGTCAACGATATATTTCTTAAAAAATTTCTACTCGTAGTTTCCTCGAGTTGACGAAATATAAATTAAGTTCACCGCTTGATCGTAATATTCGATTTATTGTCAACGATATATTTCTTAAAAAATTTCTACTCGTAGTTTCCTCGAGGTGACGAAATATAAATTAAGTTCACCGCTTGATCGTAATCTTCGATTTATTGTCAACGATATATTTCTTAAAAAAGTTTCTTCGAGTTGACAAAATATCAAATCGATCGTAATAATTCTCGTCCGATTCGTCCACATTTCTTTCGTCAACATTCTACTCACGTACACTTACGCTCGTTACAAAACATTAAATTCACCGTTTGATCGTAATATTCGATTTATTGTCAACGATATATTTTTTAAAAAATTTCTACTCGTAGTTTCCTCGAGTTGACGAAGTACAAATTAAGTTCACCGCTTGATCGTAATATTCGACCTATTGTCAACGATATATTTCTTAAAAAAGTTTCCTCGAGTTGACGAAGTACAAATTAAATTCACCGCTTGATCGTAATATTCGACCTATTGTCAACGATATATTTCTTAAAAAAGTTTCCTCGAGTTGACGAAGTACAAATTAAATTCACCGCTTGATCGTAATATTCGATTTATTATCAACGATATATTTCTTAAAAAAGTTTCCTCGAGTTGACAAAATATAAAATCGATCGTAATTATTTTCCTTCGATTCGTTCACATTTCTTTCGTCAACATTCTACTCACGTACGCTTACGCTCGTTGTTACAAAACGTTAAGTTCACCGCTTGATCGTAATTCTCGATTTATCGTCAATTGTCGGCCGATCCGACAATCGGTAGTCCTCGTTCTCGCTCGCCATTGTGAATGGGGCGCGATTTAATCGGTATAAAGGTTAATGCGATACGCGTGATGGAGTTGCGGATTGAAAGGTTTATCGCGCGAAGCGACGTGGAAACGCAAAATCCGATGTATAAGCGATCACCTCTCTACGGGGTAATTAAATTATTTATGTATGCGCGCCACGATATAGAATATCTGGAATCGAGGTCGGCCAACGATAGAATCGAAGCTATTTAACAGGCTTGGTAAATTCTTTTCCCAAGATTTTCAATCAAGCTCGTTCGGCTTGAAACGAACGATGTTTTCTTCGGTGCATAATTTAATCCTCGATCGATCGATGGTTAAATCTTTGTGTTAAATTTTTGACAAGCTTCGATTAATTGGAAAGATAAGCTCACGAAAGCGTTTACATTGCTTGAAATTAATTAATATTTTCATCCTTTTTCCTTAAGCTAAACACAAACGAACACTCGAAATTATTATAAACGCGTCGCGAAATAATTAATTAATATCGTAAGAATATTAAGATAACGGGTAGATTAAGAATCGTTTCAATTTGCACCACTACCTGATGAATCCATATTAGTAAAATGTACACACAAGATGATGCAACAACCGCTACGTATTTCCTCGTCGCTCGCAACTTTTGATAACACGAATGGAACACGTTATTACACGAGATCTTTCATCTCGATTTCTAAATATAAAATCAAATATAAATTTCACGGGAGGAAAGGCACGCGATCTTTAAAAAAGTAATCGATTCTTTTGTTCGCCTGTGATTCACGATTCCTCGAAAATCAAGCGGTAAACAACGAGCCGCGAGTTTTATTTATTCAACGAAATAATAAATATCGATTGTGCATTAAGCGCAAACGAGTGCAATATATTATTAGCTTCAATTTTCAACTCGACGTCTTTATTCGATCGGACGATAATCGACTTTCGTCCGTACGCGACAAACGGTGGGACGACAACTGGCGTTATATCGTCGTTCTCGATGTTTACGTTCGTGTTCGGTGTCGAGGAAATTTGTAAACGTAGGAATTAAAGCGGTTAACCTTTTCGTTTTCTGTTTACAAAAATAAACTCGAACGTTAAATACGATCGATTATATACGAAATATAAATTTTTGATACATTTATGTATTCAAAATTCATTGTACGAGATATGAATTTTGAATGGAATATAATTAAAAAAAGAAGGAGAATGATTAAATAATAACGAATAATGCAAATGAATAAACGAGTAATTGTAAAAATTATGCATTCGAAAATAAATAAATAATTACTGTTAAAAATTAAAATAAAACGAAATAATTAATAATTAATAAAAAATATCAAAAATTTATACGAAAAAAATACTTGCTTAAAGAATTAAAAAGAAATGGAAAAATTCCAAAGCACCGAGTGCCACCCACGTCTCCACCCACGCGCTCCGTTTATACACCGAAATCTAAAATCGTCCCTAAGAAAAGATCTCTTCGTTAACCGTATTGCCATTAATCAACCACGATTACCTCTTGTAACTTGCATGTTCCATTATTGCGTGTCGTTCCAGGATATCTCGGAGCGTGCAGGACGCATTTACATAACCTCCGATTATCGATCGATTATATGAATTCCGCGTGAATCATGGTTCAAGGTCACGGTTCAACCAATCAATCAATCAATCCATCCAGTAATCGTCGCGTGATCTCTCCGCCACGAGATGAGCGAAAAAAATTCAAGAATAAAAACGCTCGAATAAATAATTTATCATTCGAATCTTCGAAATTCTAACCAATTAATTTCTCTTTCGCTTTCTTTTCCCCTTTCAATTGATATCCAATTCCGTGGATTCCAGCAACCATGGCGGAGAAGATGTACTACTGGGGAGAGCAAAAGGATCAAGTGGATCCGGATCAGACTTTCATAGAGTTCAAGGCCAAGTCGGTGGGCTCGAGCAGGGGGAGAGAAACGTCTCACGCCGCTGCTAAAATGACGGTGTCCACGTCGCAGGGCAGGGCGACGGAAGTCGGGAATCGTGAAGAGGACACGGAACGAGGGGGATGGGATAACAAGTTGGATTTCCTGTTCTCGTGTATCAGCGTCTCGGTGGGGCTTGGAAACGTGTGGAGGTTTCCGTATTTGTGCTACAAGAACGGGGGAGGTGAGTTTTTGGAATTGCTGCGTAGGTTGGAGAACGAGCCCGAGCGAGGTTAATTTGATTCCGTTGGCCAACGTTGGAGAAATGTTACGTTGTTTCCTCTATGCTGTGCCATGTCAGATCACAGTTTTCGATAAAATTCGTTTCCTTCTTTCTTTGAATTAGCTTAATTTATGGATGGACATCTTCTTTACACGTAATTTCGAAATTATCGATCAACGTTATTTCTCAATTCGATTCGGTTAATCGTTCTATGAATTGTTAAGCGATTGAGATATACGATGCTTCTTTACGTGTAATTTTAAAATCGATATTGCTTTGTTGCTTCAATTTGATCTCGTTGGAGATGTTAAATTTTTTCAATTTTTGAAATTAATGAAATTTTATTTATGAAAGTATTTACGTATTCAAAATGAAATTTCACGAATTCCCCTCCGATGAATCGGTCCGTGATTTCGTGGGATCGAAGGACAAAGGCCAATCGAGGTCGCATCGATCCTCCTCTGTGATTATCAAGGATACGTTGGATTTTCTAACGAACAATGAATAATTCATCTTCGACTATGAATACTGTAGATAATTATACATTCTCCCACGTATCCGTATTAATGAAACCAAATTAATCAAAAAATTTCCACTCGAATCTAATTTTAAATTTTGCCACGTGTTTTTAATAATTCTCGAGATATTCTACAATTTTATAAAATAATTACAGGCGCTTTCCTCATCACTTATGGAATTGCTATGGTGTTCTGTGGTATTCCAATATTCTTCCAAGAAGTGGCAATCGGCCAATACCTTGGAGCTGGAGGAATGACTTTGGTGGGACAATTGTGTCCTTTGTTGCAAGGTTATTCTCAAAAATACTTCTTTCTTCCTTTCTTTTTTTTTTGGTTTTTACAATCTTCGAGAAATAAATCGAGCAAATAATTAAACGTTTTGATTTTAGGGGTTGGATACGCCACTATGACGATCGTATTCTTCCTAGACGTTTATTACTGCATCATCATCGCCTGGACGCTCTTCTATCTTATAAGCACTTTCGTCAATATACCTAACGTACCTTGGAAGGGTTGCGGTTGGTTGATCAATCGATCGGAAATAAAACTTCTACTCTCGTCAACTCCATATATTCTAACAACAGTGTGGCAATTTTTCTTTTTGCGTAGGAAATTGGTGGAATACCGAGGATTGCTTCGACGGCCTCGAAAAGATCGAGGAAACGACAGATCTTGTTAATTCGAATAACACGAATTCCACGTACAACAACGACAACGTCACTCTTCTTCATCACGCTACACCGGTCGAGGAATATTGGGAGTAAGCAAGTTTCACAAGTTTTTTTTTCCCTTCTTCCTTTTCTTTTCTTCTTCTTCTTCTTTTTTTTTTCTCTCTCTCTCTTGGAAAATTCACGACTCGAATGTCGCCCTTCTAATTTTTTTTTACCATCGAAAATTGTCCGAAAATTTTTAACATTTAAACATTTTAGGTGAGACTCAGAATTGAAAATTTTGAGAAAGATCCATTTGAGGATTTATATTAACGAGTTTTTCTCTCTCTCTCTC